TGTAATAACCAATAAAATATTTCACAGGGCATCTATATAGTATTCATAGTCTCAATACTCATGGAATTTTGTTGTTATTTTCCTTGACAATTCTAACTTAGGGATGATCAGTTAGTTACAGAACAAAATATTATTTTATTTGACCAAAAAAAGAGGAAAAAAGGCAGAAAATACAGCCCATGCTATGGGGCTGCAAATGGAGCAGTGAATGAAACAATAAAACCCCCAGCCTCCAAGGCTGAGTCTCTAGTGGAAAAAGCCCAGGTTTAGCTACACTGATATCCCAGATGTGAGAGGGAAGGCAGGCAGGCGTGAGGGGCAGGGTTGGGGGGGGATGACTAAGAGGCTGAGACTTTAAGTGGTGAGAAAATAGCTTACGATAAAGTAAACTTTTCAACAAAAAATGAAGGCAGCAGCAGAAGGTGGTCTATACATTGCAGGTAGAAGGAACTAGAAGGAAATAGTCACCAAGGCAAACATGCCACCTGTGTATCAGGGCTAGGAAGAAAGCCATGATGGCGGCACTAGGAAGTAAGGGAGAAGGTGAAGATGGTGAGGATATGTATGTAGATATCTATGTATATGTGCACACATATAAACAGATATATGAAAAGCAACAGTAGCTAGCTCTGAAAAGGCTTCACAGGAGGTAAGAACTTTTGCTTTTGTTCTTAGTACAGCGAGGGTCTGAGGATTTGAGGTAAGGACCATCATGGTCCTGCTGCTTTTTAAATTTTATTTTGTTTTTGTTTTTTTTGAAACAAGGCTTCTCTCTGTAGCCCTAGCTGTCCTGGAACTCACTCTGTAGACCAGACTGGCCTCGAACTCACAGAGATCCACCTGTCTTTGGGATTAAAGGCATGTGCCACCACTCTGTTTTAATGTGATCTTTTGAGCTCCTAAATTGTGTGGATGTTAAAAAAAATGTAAATAGCGACAAAAATCCATTTTAATGATGAGGGAGAAGACAAGAAGAGAACAGAGTTGCTTTCCTTCGTTCATTAAATACATTATTTGCTTCTGGTTAAAATTTGAAGATGAGTTAGAAGTAGATTCTGTCTTCACACAGAATTTATACAAGAGTTTAAAACATGAGCAGAAATAAGTATAATGCAAAGAAGAAAACAATGAATGAGAAATAACTTATTTCTTTGGCGACAGGGAGAATTAGGAATCTTCTTAAAGCAGCAGGCATTGTGCTAGACACAAAAGTGTAAGCTGCTTCTCAGTATGTCTTCTTTCACTGACTGTTCCATCCCTGGCATTTAAGAGTACTGGGAAAGCACACTCCCATTGATGAGCAGATGTTTGTGATCTGGGTGACAGAATGATGTTATATATGCGGGTTATGAAGGGAGATGGGCATTCACTAAAGGAAAAGCATAAGCAAAAACAAAAGGAATCACTCAGTTTCTTGGGTTTCAGCTGGCTAAAATGAGAATGGAAGTGGGTTATAAATTTAAAAATACATAATAGGATTAGATTATAGAAGTCTGCTGGTCTAGTCAATGCAGAGAATCATAATTAGTGCTGAGAGTGGAACATTCATACTAACTCCCACCAGGTTCCCACCAGAGCTCAGGGGACATTGAGGAAAAGGGTCAGAAAGAATGTATGAGCCCGAGGATGTGAAGAAGTGCTGTCCTCCAGACAAGACATGGCCATTGTGCTTATGAACTCATAGGGCACAGCCTAATCAAGATCCAGTCAGTTAACATTCCAATATGGATGAGAAAGGGGCTCTTGTGGCTCCATCTCTAGCTGAAGAGCTACTGACAAATGGTGGCAGCTCAAAGCAGGGAGGTGGAGAGGAGACATTTTTCTTTCAGGTATGTGACAGCTAGTAAACTGGCCATGCTTAGGTGGATGGTAACACACCCACACATAGGCAGGCTGCACTAACTGGACTCAGTGGGTTATGAAAAACAAAAGAGGAAGACATGAGTGGGAGGGGCAATTCAGGGATTCCGGGAGAGAGGGGGGAGGATTTGGAGTGAATACTATCAAGATACATTGTATACATGTATGATCAAGATATATTGTATATATGTATGATCAAGATATATTGTATACATGTAAGATCAAGATATATTGTATACAAGTATAATCAAGATACATTGTATACATGAAAGATCAAGATGCACTGTATATATATGTAAGATCAAGACACATTGTATACATGTACGACCAAAATACATGTATACATGTATGATCAAAATACATTGTATACATGTATGAAGTTGTCAAATAATAAAATTTCTTTTAAAGGAAATGACTGCTGGCTCTGTGGTAGTATGCTTTTTAAAAATATTTTAAATTTTATTGTTTTGGAACTGGATAGCTCTCAAATTTTTACATTGTGTCATCAGAAGAATTTTGTTCTGGAAAGCTTATTCTACATGTATTGATAATTGACTTGTAGAGAGCAGTTTGGGAGACATTATGTAGGTGAGAGGTGTGTGGGTGATGAGGCCCCATCAGCTAACTGTCCCCTGGTTCCACCATCACTAATACTTCCACTGGATGGAATGAGTATTTGCAACCCTAGCCCCAGATGCTTGTTTGTATTGAGACTCTGTGGACTTATCTTTGCGCTTCACTTCACTATAATGTACCATCTTCAACATTGGTACTCTATGACTTCTAACTATCCCCAATATCCCATCTCCCCTCTGCTACAACAATAAAACATTGCAAATTTGAGACAGCCAAAGAGCTCCCAGTTAGAACCTAACACCTCTCAGTCCTTCTTCCAACTAGCTGTGGCTTTAAGACTCAGCTTTAGCAATGGACTTATGCAGAAGTGATAGGAGCTGCTCTGGGACATACCATAATGAAATTGCTTGTTCTTCATTGCTGGCTGTGACATTTTTTTCTCATTGTGTCTAAAGTATATATTGAAGATTGTGTTCTTCTGGAATTCTATGGCTTTCTTAGCCTTTTTTCTGATGGGCTTGGAATTAGGGCCTACAAGTAACATCATCATAGCCTTGGATCCATAGTCTAACTTGCTGTGTGTGTGTGTGTGTGTGTGTGTGTGTGTGTGTGTGTGTGTGTGTGTGTGTGTGTTTGAGACAGGGTCTCCATGTGTACTGTAGACTTCCTTTTAACTTCCTGTGTAGCCTAGGCTATGCTCCAAGGATTGATCCTCCCACCTCTGCCTCCTGGGCATGAGGCTATGGTGTGCTTCACTATGCCTGATGTAACTTGCTTTTTGATAAGGTGTATAAGTGCATAAAGGGTCCACTTTTAGTTGACATGAGGGAATAATATCGGCTAAGTGGTTTTTGGTCATGAGCTCCATCATCACACTCTAAGAAGGAAAATAAACTACAAATCTACAAATTTTATATCTCCTTTCAACTTTTAATGGAAAACATTGTATCAATATGAATTCGAATATTATCCTTTGATTGAAGACTTTTGAGATTACTTAACCAAAACAGAAATTCATGCAACCAAAAGAACCACATACTGCTTAAGACCACTTGTCATTGGGATTTGAAGAAATTACTTTTATAAATAATGAGTTTTTACAGCCACCATCATTTCATAAATACTTTCTATAATTCTTAGGGTATATTCTATGCATTTTTCTTGGAAGAAAATTGAAATGACATTACCTACTGAACTAGAGTGTTGCAGAGGGAATGGAAGATGAGCCCAACACCTAAGAAGTGGTTTGAGGTTGGCTATTGGAACATGTGGCTGCAATTAAAAGATGAAAGTTGGCATATACATTCTGACCTTCAGAGCAGGAGATACACTTTAACTTCATAATGTGACAAAATCTACATCACAGAACTCAAAAATGGTGAATTGTAAGTATTGAATATGGAAACAACCTTTTCTGTTTCCTGTAACTCTACAGTTATTTTTTAGACTGTTTCCAAGAAATTTAACTACTGTAAATCAACCAATACACACAACAAAAAAATAGGAATATGATTTTGTTTATCAACATAGGAATCTGAGCTGGAAGCCTATAGGTAATCTACTTTATTTGTGTCCTCATAAGTACATGTTTAGAAATAAGGTAGTGTTAGGCTTGCAATAAATAAGTAAAAACAAATGGGACAATGAAGAACACTATTAAGGTAATATATTGAATAATAAGATCCTCTCAGGGTGTAAATTGCACAAATTTGAAAATACTAAATTACATTTAGTATTTAATCTCACATTCCTAAACAGTAACTACTCAAGAGACAAACTTGGTTTAGCATACCAAATTAGAGGCTATTTAATAAATAAGAAGGTTCAAAAGCAGTGCTATACATATAGCTAAACCATTTGTGTGCCTTTAAATATTTTCCCCTATTGGTGTCGAGAATATTTTATTTTTTATTGCCACAAGTAATAAAAATGAAATACGACTTGTATTAGTAGGGACACTTGAAATAGAGCTCATATTATTTAAAAATGTATTTAAAAGGCCTATCAGGAACCAGTTTTCACATAAGTAGCTTTTGAATACTTTAACAGGCTAGTACCTTTTTGTCAGAATGTTGCTAAGTGAATTCTAAGACATTCTAAAATGTTCCAGATGAAATAAATTACTTTAGATTACTGATGAGTTTATGTGTCCCAGCTATCTACTGCTTCATGTTACAATTTTGCAAGCCTATGACTTCTAAGAATTCTCACTCTAGAAGGCTGAGTGGAACTAATTTAGGTTGCAATAAGGACAAGGATTTTTTTCCTCCTTCGAGTTAAAAAGCTTAAGTGTAATTGGTGTAGCGGTGAAAGCTCAGGGTCTCATGAATGTGCATGTAAACTAGCCCTGCACGTCACCTTGTCCCCAAAGCTTTCTAACCACCTGGTCTACCTCTCTGCACACTGATGGGCACGGTCGGGTGGGCTACTGACCCAGTCACCGCCAACTCTGTCCAACAGAACTCAGGACCTGGGCTTGGAATCCATGCTAGGGCCTGCCATACTCTACAACCTCGTGTCCCCTGATTCGGAGCAAGTGCGTTCAATCGAGGAAAATCACTTACGACTGAGTTTTTCATCATGGCTTTGACTGTGAAGCCCTCAGAAACGTGGGAATGAGGCTGGTGCACCGGGAGCGGCTGTTGTGGCAGCAGTTTGGTCCTCTTCGGCATCTTGTCTGGGGATTTGTTTAAGGTCAGGGTCTCTTTTTCTGCCACCATCTTCCTAGAAAACGTCTTGTTCTTATCAAAAGTGTGGTAGAAAAAGCAGTGGGTTTTACAGATGTGAGCAGGAGGTCGGGGAAAAATGTAAAAAGGCGCGTTACTGGTAGAAATTCAACCCCTCGAGGTGCCCAGGGTGATCCAGATGTTTGGCAGCTCCAAGGTGAAGGGAGTTTAGGGGAGGGGAGGGGCGGGAAGAGGGCTGGGACCCGAGGCTTGAGCCGCAACAAGCTTCCAAAGGTGAGCCTCCTGGTTGCTAAGCGACTCGTCAACACTTCGGCCCGAGAGTCCCGCCCCTTCGTGACGCACGTTTCCTGGGTCTTAATCCGGAAAGGGCGAACGGCGGTGACGGGCAGGCGGCCAGAGGAGGAGGAGACTCTTACGCGTTAAAACTACGACTCCCAGCAGGCATCGCGCTCGGGCGCGGGTGCGCACGCGCACTGAGCCTGCCGGGCGGCGCGGGGGCGGGGAGCCCTGGATGACTAAACCTGAGAGAAACGCTGGTAGGAGGCTCGGGCGGGTGCCGGTGCCCGCGTAGGCCCTGCTCGCCCCGCAGCCACCACCCGCCCGGTGACCATGATAGGTACGTGGGTGCCTGCCAGGTACAACCTCTCTGCGCCGCCCCGCGCCCGTGGGTGGCGCCACGTGACACCCCGCGGGTCCGAGTGGGATCCTCGGGGGGCTGGCCCGAGCCACCTGTCAGTGACAGGCGTGTGCGCCGCGCTCTCCGCCCGCTCGGTGGGCTTCCTCGGCCCCCCCAGGGCCCGCGAGTGGCCGGGTCGGGTGCATTGCCAGTCCCCACCCCGCCCTTGCCGAGGTTAGCCCGGTGCCCGCTGAACACGGCATCCCCGCGGACACCCCGGTGCTCCACGGCGCCCTCCCACGGCCGGGCTCGTCCCCGCCCTGTCAGCATCCTGGCGCTCTGCCACCCCTGGGTGCCGACCAGCCCAGGTTTGTTTCTGTCCCCTCGTGTGCCCTGGAAGGGACTGTCAAGCTGTCCTTCACTTTAGGTCAGGTTCAGACACTGCAGGACTTTTAAGAAGCCCCCAGAAAGCGTTCGACTGGTGGAGATACTGGGCTCCAAAGAGATTGCACCTTGCTCCTTCAGTTATGTCTTTTTTTTTTTTTTTTAAATGTCTCCTTGAAGATCGGAGACGAAAGAATAGAGAAGAGCATATAATAGCAAAGATGGAATCTTTTCACAGTTTACAACTGGATGTAGTTTGATGAGTGCAGCTTTGGAAGTGGCCACTAGGGTTGTTAGGAGCACTGTCAAGAAGAAAGGCTAGGAGAGTCCTCTCGGCGATGTCAAACTCCCAGGCACTTTGGGGTTCTCCTCCAAAATGAGTAGAAATGCATAGTGGCGTTGTGCGAACATTCCTGTGTGGAGGTTTCGTTACTGTAGACTCCTCCACATGGTATCTTGGAGCTCTGGTGAGCTTGGTTGTGATATATGCCTGAGAAGAACCGCTCCAAGTACAATGGAAATGGATCTATCCAATATATGTCTAGAAGACAGATGAGAGGTGGCATTATGAAATAAATGCTTTACATGATGCAAGTAGCTAAGTCTGTTTTTACTTATGAAATTAAGGTTAAATAGAGCAGCCTTCTATCCCTCCCTCACTGGGGGAATCATGCCAGGTCATTAACATCCTCACTGAAACAGAGGCACAAGCTAAAGATGTCCAACTTCGCTCACCTTGGTAGGGTAGTGTGTATTTTTGGTGAATGAATTGGAAACATGTTAAATTTATAGAAAAGTTACATTTTTATGACTCTTCCTGAGCCTTTTAAGTGACAATTACTTAAGAGCTGATTGTGAACACAAACCTGAACTGAGTCAGTGAGCCAAGTGGAAGAGATTAGGAAAAAATTATGGGAGACTTTACAAGAAAGAAATATTTCATATTTTGAAGACAGTTGCACACGTTTAGTTTCTTCAAACTTAATCTAGTTGGATGATTTTGAGAAGCAAATTCCCAGAAAACTTTATAAAGACATGAAATTAAGACCTAGAAACAATTATTTTATAAGGAATCTAGTAAATTATTGTATTAATAACTTTTAGGATGGAACACATTTAGGCAGTTTTGTTAAGATTTATCTGGAACTCTCTTAATAAGTGTGATATCTGGGCATCACAACTAAATCCATTACTGACAGAAACAAGCAAAATGCCAGGTGAATTTTAAATCTGTTCTGTCTCTTTCTCTCACTGTTTTTGTGATAGGGTGAAGATGTGTGTATTTCAACACAAATGATTAAATCGCTGTCCCCCACCCCAAGAAAAGGAACTTAACATATTTTAAAAACTGCATAAACAGTGTTAAATAGACTATTTAGTTCAACTAGTTTTATTGCCCAGTTCTATTGGTGGCCATATTTTACTAAACTTCTGAATTGATAGTTTGGAGAATTGTGTGTGTTGACAACACTCAAAATAGGTGAGAGTGAAACAATTCCAAGGAAGTCCCGGAAGGAGTAGTTCTGCATTTTTGTGAATGATCTCTGAGCCAGGAAACAAAGACCAACAGTCTTTATCCAGAGGTCTATTGCAAGTCAAAGGACACACAATTATCTCGAGGAACCAACAGCATCTTCTACTGCACAGCACTGCTCAGAGTTGGTGCCTTTTGTGCCTGTCCTCTCCCGCCTTGCTGTAACCTCCTGGTGCAGGCGTCACAGCTGCTCTTCCATTGAAGTCCTTGCTTTCCTTTGAGAAAAATCCCATGGATTGCTTTCCTGGCCAAATATGAGGACAGGGGACAAATAACTTCCTCGCCCATAAAATAATTTCCCTTTTATTGTTTCAAAATAGAGGGTTCCCTTCTTGTCATGGACATGGCTTTAAAAGCACTTCCATTTCCCATTTGGATTATGATTGATGAGTTAAATGCCTTGACCCAGACAGACTTAAACCATAATTTAATTGAAGTCAATGAACATGGAGAGGGATTGTGAGGCATGGAGAAGGGATTCAAGATAATGAAAAGCTTCAGAAAATTTAACTGAGAAAAATGTAATTTTGAACACCCCTTTAAATTTTTTTTATCTTTTAAAAAATGAGCACTTCTTTGTGTTTAAAATTAAATTTAAGTGGTTACAATTGTGAATTGTTCTAAATGTCCTATACGTTTAGGCATTTGATAATATCAGCTATTAAAATACATGGGTACTCATACAATTAAAATAGGAAGTTCTTAAATTAAAACCCAGTGTTACAGAGGGTTTTTGAAATAGAAATGTAGCTCAGTGTTGTATCCTAGGATTGGTAAAACCTTGGGTTCCATTCAAAAAGTGTTGTTTTTTTTTAATTGATTAAAAATATTATTTCCTATATCTTGTTGAAAATCTCTTAGAGAATTTAACTGTCTGCATATAAAGATCATACTTATTTCTGCCTATTCTTCAATTTTATGTGATATATTAGTTATCTTCCCTTTTAAATGAATATTCAGTAGTCATAAGGCCTTTCAGTGTGCATACTGCACAGATGTCTTTGGGGGTCCTGTCCTCTCTGACAGTGTTAGTATACATTTTATTATCACTTGCCAGCAAGTATTTTTTTAATTGTCTTGTTTATAGATAAAGGGTAGACATTTTACTTTGAAAATGAGTTTTAGGAAAAGTAATGCATTCTACATTGATTTAGTTTTACAAAAGCAGATTCCAGTATTGAGCATGTATTATGTGTCTGGTACTGTTAGTAGGTGCCAAGCACACAAGAATGGAATAAACAGATAAAAATGCTTTGTCATTGTCAATATTCTATCTATATTGACTATTGGCCCCACATCTGGCTTTGTTTTAAAACTCGTATGCAGGAAATTTTAAGTCGTAGACTTTGTAGTTGAATGTACTATGCATTGCTGTTTATCCTGTCATCTTAATAACATTAGATGGAGGCCGGGCAGTGGTGGCGCACGCCTTTAATCCCAGCACTCGGGAGGCAGAGCCAGGCGGATCTCTGTGAGTTCAAGGCCAGCCTGGGCTACCAAGTGAGTTCCAGGAAAGGCACAAAGCTACACAGAGAAACCCTGTCTCGAAAAACCAAAAAAAAAATAACATTAGATGGAAGCGACTCTACATCTGAATACTGTTTGCTATGAGGTGCCCTTGTGCCACTGTGTTACAGAATGGGTTCTATACAACTTGTTTATAGAAGAGTTTATATAATTTTATTCAGTCCTCCTTTGGGTCCAAAGCCTCTGAAAGAACCGTATGTCCTTTATAAATGTTGGTCCTATTTCTAAAGGTTTTTCTGAAGTCTGCATTTTTTTTTAATCCAAAGCTCCATGGCTTGAAAATGATACAGTGGAAATACTTGTTATTAAGATATGCAAATCCATCCCTGCCTCTAAAGCTTCTTTGAACTCCTGTCCACCCCCCACAAAAAAAGGGAAAAAGAAAAAGAAAGAAAGAAAAAGTTCTACTTGTTTCAAAATGCTTAATATTCATGAACCAGGTTCAATGCAAAATACTTTATTCTGTTAGCTTTCAGTTCTTTGATCAATGAGAATTGTTTCTTACCTGCTGTTTCTTCAGCCTTTAATGGTAGCCCAGTGCTTATTCAATGTTTCTGTTTTAATTTGCATTTAATGAGCTAATTTTAAATGTTTCTTTGTAGTAATCTGAATGGTTTCCTTCTTACATTTATAATATTAAAGACTGAGACTTATCTGACAGCTAGCTGATTTATATTACAGCCCCCATCATGGCTTATTTACTTCATCTTATAGAGGAGAATTGTGGTTAAAAGGAATGCAGTTAACAGTACTATTTCCCCTAGGACCGTGTTTCCTGGTCACCTAAGATTCTATCAGGCTAATCCAATCTCTTCATTCCCCTCTCACTAAATAGCATGTTTTCTTTCTTGAATTAATAGATACTTTAATTGACAGTGATCATTCTAGTATCCATTCTTTATAAGGTAATGTGTTAGGTGGTGCTGCACAGGGATGTTCCTTGTGTGTGTATGTGAATATATGTTCTGTAGGGAAGGACACAGAAATAGAAAATCATTTATCCCCATGAGTTGTGATTTACTTGGGCTGATAAGACATGTGCATTGTACAGATTTTACCCTCTCCATTATAGAAGCAGAGTGTGGTGTTTATATATTCATCCTATCACATGGGAATTGTGTTTCACTGTGTACTCCATTTAGATATAATCTTTATATGTGATACAAACAGAGAGTAATAGGATGAAGGTGTAGTATCAGAGAGTACCCACT